GTCCCAGTTACTTGGGAGACGGAGGCAGGAGACTCGCTTGAGCCCAGGAGTTAGAGGTTGCTGTGGGCTGTGATGCCACAGCACTTTACCCAGGGGGACAGTTTGAGGTTCTGTCTCAAAAAATAAAAGAAAGGAAAGAAGCCAATTTGAAAAGGCTACATACTGTATGATTTCAACTATGTGACATTCTAGAAAAGGCACACTACAGAGGCCAGGTGTGGTGGCTCATTCCTGTAATCCTAGCACTTGGGAGGCTGAGGTGGGTGAATTGCCCTGAGCTCATGGGTTCGAGACCAGCCTGAGCAAGAGCAAGACCTCATCTGGAAAAATAGCCAAGCGTTGTGGCAGGTGCCTATAGTGCCAGCTACTTGGGAGGCTGAGGCAAGAGAATAACTTAAGCCCAGGAGTTGGAGGTTGCAGTGAGCTGTGACCCCATGGCACTCTACCAAGGGTGACAAAATAAGACTCTGTTTCAAAAAAATAAATAAATAAAAAGGCTCAGTGCCTGTGGCTCAAGTGGCTAGGGTGCCAGCCACATGCACCTGAGGTGGCGGGTTCAAGTCCAGCCCAGGTCTGCCAAACAAAAATGCTGGCTGCAACCAAAAAAAAAAAAAAAGGTAAACTACAGAAACAATAAAGACCAGTGGCTGCCAGGGGCTAGGAGGGGGAACAGAGGGTGACTAGGTGGAGCATAGGTGATTTTAGGGCAGTGAAACTATTCTGTAAGATACTTTAGTGGTAGATACTAACTATATATTTGTCAAAACTAGAGGAGTGAATCCTAACTTAAACTGAGGATTTCAGTTGATAGGAATGTATCCATATTGTTCATCAAGTGTAACAATACCACGTGCAAGAAAGAGGGAACTGAGATAGAGGAAGGAGGGATACATGAGGATTCTTCCTACTATATGCTCAATATTTTTTAAAGCTAAAACTGCCTTACAAGACCTTAAAAACAGCCTGTTGAGGACAACTACTAAAACTGGAACGATACAGAACATATTAGCATAGCCCATGTGTGAGGATGACACCCAAATTTGTGAAACAGTCCAAAAAGATGATAATACTAAAATATAATAAAGTCTGTTACTTAAAAGAAAAAGAGGAGGCTTCCCATGGTGGCTGATGACTATAATCCTAACACTCTGGGCGGTCAAGGCATTTGAGAACAGCCTGAGTGAGACTCCGTCTCTGTCTCTCTCTAAAAAAAAGTAATAATAAAATTAAAAAAGAGAAAGACTACATGAATACGTAAAAGAACTTAAACTTCATTTCCAGCTGCAATCACACTCCAGCTCTGGGCCTGAAACCACCCAGGGGTCTGAGTTTCGTACCTGTCCCAGCCCAAGGGGATGAGCCATCCAAGGGGAGACAGTACTAGAGATTCTACTCGTCTGGGAACCTGCGACTAGCCCTGAACCAGACAGAACTCCCCCGACTCAAGGAGCTCACCGGAGCCCACCTGCCGCCGCGGCGGCCACGTGGCGCCTAGGCCACACCCCCACACAATTGACTCTCCGATTGGACAGTTTGTGGAGGTGTGGCCGGAAGAGGCGAGTCTGACTAGCAGGGGCGTGGTCGAAGGTTTGTGGAGGAACATGGCGGAGCCCACGAGGAAGAGGCCTTGTGGCCCGGTAAGTGGCGGGACCTGGGACCCCAGACTGGCGGCTGGGTGGAGGCATGACAACGAGCCAGGTAGAGGCCCGTGGAGGGACCAGGCAGGACTTTCTGCTCCCTACTCCTCGCCGATTCGAAGCCCGAAGATCGGAGGTGCTGCAAGCTGCTTGCTGCGTGTGCCTCGGCTCGGATGAGAACCCGAGGTGGGATCCGTGGTCGGGAGCGGGACGTGGAGCAGCATAGGGTAGCCTGTGCTCAAAGCCCCCTGTGGTGCTTTGGTACTAGCCAAATTACAGAGGTGGGAACCTGCTTTTAATCCTGAGCTCTTTGGTAATTTGTCTTCTAACTCCCAGGGCGACCGTGGGCAGGTCCTCTCCCCCGAGCCTCAGTTTCCTCTTATGTTTCGTGGGAATTATTCAACAGTTTATTGAGTGCTTACTGTATGCCAGGCCTAGACCCAGGCTTTGGGAGTACAGCGAGTCCCTCCCTTCCTGCCGCTTCCTGGGGCAGCAGTGTGTGGAGGTTCTCTGGTTTTCTCACCGCCTCCATTTAGAAGGGGAGAATTGCTATGGAGAGCGAAGTGGACTTCCTCTCAAGTGTGACCTTAAGCCTTACAGTCCTAATCCTTCTGCCTGTTCCAGGGTGAACATGGTCAACGAATTGAGTGGCGAAAATGGAAGCAACAGAGTAAGTTAGGGCTGAGGGAGTAGGAAGAATGTGCCTACCCTTCCACTAGACCACTCAGACAGTACAGGGCGGAGGCGCGCCTCCAGGAAAGACACCAGCTTTGGCTAGAATCGGGGAGGGGGTGGGGGAGGGGAAGGGAGAAGGGCGGATGGGTGGTGGGAGGGTGACAGGAAAGATCACCTATATAGTCTGTCTAACAAGGGTACAAGTGAACTTTTCTAGAACTAGAGTATAAATGTTTTAACACAATAACTAAGTAAATGACACAAAGACTATGTTACCCAGTTTGATGAAAATATTTCAAATTGTATATGAAAACACTACACTGTACCCCATGTTTACATTAATGTATACAGCTATCATTTAATAAAAAAAAAGAAAGAAAGAAAGACACCAGCTTTATCTCCTTTGAATCCCACAGTACCCAAGGTGGGGAGGAGGAAGAGGCCAGGAACCCTGGGAATGCTCCTTCGTTGTCCCCTGACTGCTTACCCAGCAGCACTCCAGAGCTCCAGCTGACTTGATGAGAGGAAACCAGGAAACTGTTCCCTAGATCAATCGGGATGTTTTCTTTTCCAGAGAAAGAAGAGAAAAAGAAGTGGAAGGATCTTAAGTTGACAAAAAAACTGGAGCGGCAGCGGGCACAAATGGAACAGGCGAAGCGCCAGGAGGAGGAGGAGGCAGCTACACAGAGGGATGACCATGGTGAGCAGGCTGAGTCCTGGGGAGGCCCCTGCATTGTGGCTTGCAGCACCTGTCCTCCACACAGAGCAGAGAATGTCATATCTGGAAGGGCCCTTAGAGAGACTAGTGGAGCCAAACATCTTGTCCCAGTTGGGTATGGCCACTCATGCTTGTAATCCTAGCACTCTACGAAGCTGAGTCAGGAAGATCACTTGAACTTAGGAGTTCAAGACCAGCTGAGCAAGAGCAAGACCCCATCTCTACTAAAAATAGAAAAATTAGTCTATTTTTGTAATAGATGTAGTAGCAAGTGCCTGTAGTACCAGCTACTCAGGGAAGCTGAGGCAGAGGGATTCCACTTGAACCCAGGCATTTGAAGTTGCTGTGAGCTAGGCTGATGCCACAGCGCTCTAGCCTAGGCAGTAGAGTAGGACTCTGTCTCAAAAAAACAATCTTGTCCTGTTGGAGAAACTGAGGTCCAGCTTAGGAAAGGGACCCAGCAAACTGAGTTCTAAACCCCTACTTAGGTAGATTTCAAGCCTATGGAGGGTAAGCATATCTCCTAATGTTTACCTCTAGAACCTCATAATCTAGATTTAGTGGTAGTTATTCTTTACTTTTCTTTTTGTGACATCAGAACTCACAGCAATCTCCAACTCTTGGGCTTAAGTGATTCTCTTGCTTTAGCCTCCCAAGTAGCTGGGACTACAGGC